ACAGATTCCTGCCCTTTCCAGTAGGCTCAGAAGACTGTAAACTGCTGCAGCCTTTCCCAGTTTGTCTGTTCATCCTCATTAATAACTTTTGCCATCTTAACCACACCCCAATGTTGCTTGGCCAAGTGTGCCTTGGTTTTCATCTGTGAAATGTTGAAGGGTATGAGATAGGCTCCAACTCAGCCTTGGGTGAAAGAATCTCATAGACTTAGATTGACTTTTCAGCCCGATCCGTGCATGGGACGTGATTGGGTTGGAATGGGGCAAAACATATTTTATCACAGACAAAATTTTAATAAAAGTAGAATTGAAAGATATAGCCATGTTAGTCTGTAGAATCAGTATGTAGAGAGATCTTGTAGCACCTTTGAAAAAGAAAGAAGTTGGCAGTATGAGCTTTCGTAGACTTCAATCTACTTCCTAAGTAGGTTCCACTGGTTTCCATGGACTTTATATCTACCAATTTAAGTCAAAGTTTTTGTTGTGTGCCTTCAAGTCATTTCCGGCCTACGGCGACTCTATCCCAGGTTTTCTTGGCAAGATTTGTTCTGAGGAGGTTTGCCATTGCCTTCCCCTGAGGCTGAGAGCATGTGACTTGCCCAAGGTCATCCAGTGGGTTTAATGGTCAAGCAGGGAATCAAACCCTGGTTTCCAAGTCATAGTTCAACACTCAAACCACTACGCCATGCTGGCTCTCTAAAGTGAAAGAAAACTAAAGCAAAGCAAGAGAGTAGAGGCAGAGCTTTCTTATTGTTATCTGTACAAGAGACAAATGGCCCTAGAAAACTTGTATCCAGAGTCATAAATGGGAGTCCCCAAGCATATTTAGGATCTTGGATTACAGCCGAGCAGGAATTGTCACAAATTAGAAAAGATGAAATTAATATGGCCTTAATAAAAACAACAGTCACCACCTCAGCTCCTTGATTATAAAGTTCTTTAGGCTTTTGTCATAGCATTTATCTCTGAGTAGCAGCTGAATAAGCTAAAGGTGTGTGCTTTTGGACACATGATAGTTATGAGAAATCAGGAAGCCCTGATAGTGGAGTCTTTGTAAGAAGATTTCAGCAGTCTCAGCTTCCTCATAACATTGGGAATGGGATGAATGGACAGTTAGGTGAGCAGATTTGCAAAGACAGAAGGCAGGAAAGCAAAAACCGAAGGCAAAAACACAGCATGAGGAAAGATCATGCACAAGAATACTGCCA